AGTCGCTTATCTTGTTTTGCTTCTGCTCTCCATTTTTCTTCTTTTTGGTGGATGGATAGAGCATGGATAGAGAAAAACCGCGAGAACCTCCTCAGGCAAACGTTTTGTATAAATACACTGACGATCGAGATAAGCTCTATTCCGCAAGACAAGACATGACATTTATTTCCCATATTGTTCTCATATCGAAAAATGAAACACATTCATCTACAAGGAGCGGTTTTAATTTTTACCAAAATAGTAGACATACATATTGGGAGACCTTTGATATATCAAGAGATTTGGCCTTAGGTAATAAATCGGGTCATCTCTTTATTTACCACTGCAGCTTGGTTTATACATATTTTATTGTTCACAGTGCAACGCTTTATATCTTTAACGTATTACAAAAACTTCATATTCAATGGACAAACGGTATTTATGTTTACACGAAACACTTTTGAAGCACTGTATGGCATGCATATCAAGTTGCGTTATTATCGAAGGGAAGAGATCCCGACCCCATTTCACAATACTTGTCATCAGTGACAAATGACAGTTTTTGTTAAAAGCTACTGAAGTCCTTGCTGCTGATTGATTATCAGCAGATTTGTCACTGATTTTTGTCATTTATCATTGAAACCAAGCTTTGTGAAAAGGGTCCCAGTCTACTATGTATGCATGTTTCTCTTCCTCACCATTGGTTACCAGACACGCCATACAGCCGATATGAATAATGCCATCTCTTTTCAATTTACATGCATTGGTTGGTGCTTTGTCGGACATGCCTCTAATAAGCTTTTTAATTGTCATGAGAACCTCTCGTCTAAATGGTTTATATGGTACGTATTAGATTGGTTGACAGGTCTATGGGTGAACATGATACCTGCTTCTATGGACGTGCATATTTTATACACAGGGAGTAGACACGTAGCTGAAATGAAACATATACCATATGCACATGACGAAAATAAATGCTAATATTTGTTTAATTATTCATCTAAAACATCGTACATAGTAGATATCATTTCACGGTGATAATTAAACCCATCTCAACTTACAGAAAGCGTGTCTTTCCCATTTATATTTTGCCACCGCGATGAACACGTGAATAATGGCTCCATACCTATATTTTTGAAGAGTTCAATTCCAAAAGGAGCTAAATCCACTTTTGATGACAATTGAGTTATTGACAACGGAGCATTGTTCACTAAATTACCCGTCTTTCAACAAAATTATTTACCTACATTTTGGGAGCAATTATGAAAAAAAATGCACCTTCTAATATCACTTATCCATAGACGACTGTACACAATCTGGTAAACAACTTCTTTATTCTCCGAAGTTACACAAATGGATGGAAGGGCGTTACGCGGCTTGCGCCCTTTAGCATGAAAGAAGATGCGCAATAATGCGTTAAGCAGAAGGGCGTTAGCACTAAATCGCCTCAAACTTTTATAAAACTGACTTATTTCCGGGAAAAAATGTCTTGTCGTGTTCTGCTTTAACATTTCTATTAGTCTTATAAGTTTTAAACCAAATTTCGGGACGGAAAGCAGTTTAAATATAAAACAAATCTTTAAATGCGAATAACTCGAAAAGTAGTTTTCGAGTCGATCGCGCGCTAACGCCCTTCTGCCAGCCGTGCGACGAGTTAACTAAACATAAAATAACAAATTAGACATTATAATTATTTGATAAGAAAATGGGACGGTTTAACGAAGATCAGAGGTAGTAGTACCCTATAACTTGCTAAACATGTCCCTGGCAATGTTGACGATTACTTTTCAATCTCAGCCACCCCCCCCCCCCCCTCCCCCCTCCCCCCCCCCCTATACTTAGTCTCCAGGGCAGCGTTTAACGAAACCGTCATAAGTACAAGTTCACCAACAACCCATTGAACTGCGTGTGTTAAATTTAGCACGTATTTCAATGGGATATCGGTGAACATGTACTTACGACGGTTTGGTGAAACGATACCCTGGTGCCACCCCTCAATGGGTGAGTATGTTGTACGCTTATTTGATTTTGACGCAAGTCGCGACCCACTTAAATTCATAACTCATAAACACTGTCGCGAATTAATTGGATAATATATTCGATCAATGAACAAGGCAACTACTCCAAATCGACACAGGATTAATGATGAAGACGATATCGATAGAAACAGGTCTAAACCGCTGCCCTTTCTTTTGACTTTACGCTTCCTCATATTACACAAAACAGTGCATTCATTCAAATATCAGAGGTAAGGCAGGGGTTTTCCCCTTTGCGGATGTGAATACGTCTGCATGGGCGTGCGTGTGTATAGTAGTATTAATAAAGTTGCATTAGGTCTGTCTTTCAACTTCTGATAATTGTTAGGATAAAGTGATTGAGAAAAATAATGAATTATCCACAGAAAAAAAATTCACGAATATATTATTACTGACACATCTTTGCACAATAATTCCCTACACTGTCCGATGGTGAACTCTAGCATTCACTATTTTTTTCCTTCTCATTTCTCCTTGTATCTCATTCCAATTGTATCCCTCTGCGCCTCAGAATAGTTTACTAGAACGATTGCGCATAATAAATGCTGTATTATTATTATAATTTTTATATTTCCGCTTCCCTTTTAGATCGGATTTCCCGACGACAATCGCCTGTTCACTTTTCACATGCGAAAATATGTGTTGGGGGCTATTTTCTCGTTATGTTTGCTAATGATAACAAATAATAACAATGATCATAATAATGAAAATATGAATAATTATGATCTGGGTTTATTTAGCGCTGAATACAAAATTATGGTATTCCTCGAAAACTAAACTATGCTTCGTCTATTATGTTACGGGGAAAATGGAAAATATTGACAGAAAACACATTTCTATGCTAAGGATTTAGGACAAAAGATGACTTAAAATACATTCAAAGTGAGAAAAAGTTAGAACAAACACTTTTCATGCAGTTTTTTTATGTTCTAACCGTTTCCCGACTATTTTATGTTGACTAGGCTTACCTCGACCCCCCCCCCCCCCGCACCCACAACCCGCAACCACCTATCTATTACGTCTATGCACCTATACAACCTTGATACTGATAGGGTGACCCACTCAAGGCACGTGCCTAATATCCCTCTTTGTAAAAGCTTTGCTAAATGTTAAATGATGGTTTGCTTGTTTTATTCTTTCGTTTGTTGGTGTTGTGTTTCTGTGTTTGTTGCTCCTCCTAGATTTTTGGAATGTGTGCCCTTACCATCTTACCCATTAACCCCAGATGCGGGTTTAACTATAATAACGGTGAGTCTATATGCAAGCAGACAACAACCAGAGTAAAATAATTCGATTTCTTCGTTTCAAAGGCAGACAGTGTGATTGTATTTCCTTACACCTTACACGACAGTGAGCGATCGGAAGTATCGGGGGAGTAACATTCATAAGACATTAGACCTGCATGTGTCATCCGCAACACATGCTGGACTGAATTAACTGCATCAAATTGCATCTATCAATATCAAGTTTGACTTCTACTTATTCTAGCCAAGGCCTTTTTAAATTTCAAAATTCCTTTGTTTTCTTCATCTTTGTCACCTTCTTTCCATGCCTCTATCAAATTTTGACTTGGCCCTTTTCTCTCTCTCTCTCTCTCTTTCTCTCTCTCCATCCTTATATATCATTTTAATTCATTCACTCTTGTTCTATCTCTTTCTTCCTCTCTCTCTCTCTCTTTCTTTTCTCTACGTTTATACTCATATAAATCCGTCTTTTCTGTCTCCCCCTCTCTATCTCTCTCTCTCTCTTACTCTCTTTCCTATCTAGTTCAGTTCAGTTCATTTATTTCAATCATAAAATCATAAAATAATATATATACAAAAGTAACATGAAACAATCATAATCTTACAATTCTGGAATTAAGAAATCGGAGACTGAAAAGGAAGTTTGAAAAACTTTTAAGTATAATAGTCCCCTGGCATAAATAATAAATAACGAGATTACATGTTTGTACACGTTACAACAATAATAACAATATATAAATAAGATTCTGCACATTATAGATACACACCGATGAACACACACACACACACACACCCACATGCATGGTACATTGCAAGGTAGAACAAGTTAAAAGAAAGAGTTAAGGGAAATAAGAAGAGACCAATTGTGTCTTCAATAGAATTTTAAAGGATGATATAGTTGTACATACCCCACTCTTAGAATTATTTTTAAACTTATAAGACTAAATAAAGTTTCCGAAACCGTTTTCATATGTTGTTGTTGTTAACTTGGCATAATTTATAAACCTTAAGGCTCAACGCGCGCAAGGTTCTGAATTGTATAAATGCAAGGGAAATGAAGAATGAAATTCTTTGTTTTAAAAATAAAATGGAAAAATACATAGATTGTCAGTCTTACCATTGTGTCATTAAGTGTGGTCTGAAGATTATATCCATTAAGAACATCCTTGCTTTGTCTCACATGTTCTAATGCAAGCTTAACAGCAGGTAAGACTCCTTTCCCAAGCGACTTCTCCTCCCCTTCACCGCTCAAAGGGAACAATCCCACCACATGGATATCACGAACACCCGGCTTCTCACTCACAACGTTACTACCATCCGGGTTGCTTTCCGTGGTCGCCGTCGAGCCCAGCTCCGTCGCCGTGTATCCCTCGCGAAAATCTTCCGATGTCGCTTCGATGTCCTGCGAGTGCGACATATTCGAAGTGATTGTCAAGAGGAGAATTAGAATAGTTACGGTCGCTTTGGCTCCGTGTATTGCAGCCATTATGTTTGTATCGTTTTCCTGATGTTGTTTGAATGTTAATGAAGGATCAAATAGCAAAGACTGTGATAGTTCAAATTCATCAATCAATGGTCTATGCAAATAGTAAATGAACAGACACCCGTTTACGGCAAATGACGACTTGGTGTAAGCGATACAATGAGTAGTCAAAACTGCTCCACTTTAAGATTGACTTATCATCAACCGGTGAATATCTTGATAAACGATCAGGTTTCGCACTACGTATGAATTTAAGCACGTTCGGGAATCATGTTAGAAGAACGATACTCAATTGAAAAACAAGCAATTAACGAATGCAGCGTGTAAGGAATCCTTGTCCGCAATCACAAGTGCAGGTTGAATCTTGAATATGTTTCGTCACGCATCGCAGCAGAAAGTTCACGAATGTACTGTCCTTCTTATTTACATTCATTGACAAAAGCAAACATCCAACAGCTTTGAAGGGTGCTCCTGACTGCGAGGAAACCAACAGCTGCAAATATAAAAGTTAAAATGTTCACATATCAATTGGAGTGTATGGACAAATTATTTTCTTTCTGAATAGTAACAGCGGGATTTCCACTATTTGCGTAGGAAGCTATTCAATTCAAACTATTCATTTTGTAAACAAATACACCAGAATCGATATTTCTTCGAGGCTATTTCCTTGTTATTTCGCCTGTTCGTTTTTATTCCATATGAGGAGTTCTCAGTACGACAAAGAAAATACAAAACACTTATTCGTTCTCATTATTTCTTTAGTAGCTCAGCAGAAGATGGTCGATGTGTGATATATTTCAATGCAATGCAGCACGTTAAATCAGCCATGCAAACTCGGTTTCAAAGTACAGCTACTAATCATGATCCCATAGCAATCGTTCATTCATCGGCATGTGTCAAGTACTTCCATTTAAGACGCATATAGTCGACCATTAAACACCGTTACATGTAACCGATGATCATGGAATATTCCTCTAAAAAGAAGATCACTAACTCACCAACACGCAAACGGTTTTAGAAATTTCTTGCAAATTTCAGTGAAATTAAGTAAAGTTTTGTAGAATTTTGGTCCAGTATACTAGATGTATGTCCTAGGTGTTAGCTCTACAACAATGTATCTATACCATATAATCATGTACAGATATAGTCAAATACTATAAACACGTTGGAGATATCCGTACACGTTTACATGAGGTCATGATATATATCCAAACAAACAAGAGATAAAGTTGCTCGCTTGTCGTCCCATCGACTGTTCAAAGTCGAATGGTGCAGGTACAGAGTTCACATAGAGAGAAGACTTCTCGTTCCGTGATACCGAGGGCAGCGACGAGAAAAGTACGCGACCGTGTCGAATGCGAGCGAGCTCGGACCCTTCGCAGCACGGAAAATGTTTGGGACGAGATACGGAGGCACGTTATTTACTCTCTGTAGAGAATGCACACTTTATCTATGGTGGCGGAGAGAAGTTTATTAATGGAGCTGTGTGGGTATTTGTGCGTGTTTGTATATGTGTGTATAGTGGGTGCGTGTTGTATTATTAGCAAAGACAAGTTTATTTATGGAGGAGGATGTGTGTGTGTGTGTGGGAGAGAAAGTATGTGAGTGTGTGTGATAGTGGGTGCGCGTTGTCTTAGCGGAGAGAAGTTTATTAATGGAGGTGTATGTGTGTGTGTGTGTGTGTGTGTGTGTGTGGGAGAGAGAAAGTTTGTGAGTGTGTTTGATAGTGGGTGCGCGTTGTCTTGGCGGAGAGAAGTTTATTAGTGGAGGTGTATGAGTGTGTGTGTGTGTGTGTGTGGGAGAGAGAAAGTTTGTGAGTGTGTTTGATAGTGGGTGCGCGTTGTATTTGCGAGGTGAATTGTGACTGTAAAGCCTTGGCCAATATAATACTTGAGGTCATTATTTGTGGACTATTATTATTATTAATCCATCGTCATGAGGTTGTCCTTTCATCTGATAATCGAGCCTCTCACTACATATATATGTATATGTCTCTTTATCCCTTTTGTAACCACTCAATTAATATTTCAAATCCTTGATTAACCCAATGCTCATTATCATCTTCTCTACTACAAAGGAAAATGTGCACTTTTCTCTCATTAATGTTCTAACCACTCTCTTTTAATCTGTTCCTTGAAGCATAGTATACTCTCATTACTTTAATACATACATGCATACACATCTCTTTTGACAGAGTAATGTAAAATGGTTACAAAAGCAAACTTCTGGAATAAGTTTTTTGTGTGATTGTTGTTATAATAATAATAATAATAATATTTAATTTTTATTTAGCGCTTAATACAAATGTCTCTAAGCGCTTTACAAATATACTATCTCATTTCCAGAAAAACGATCCCTTTCATGTCGAAATACGAAAGGAAGGTTTACCAAAGATGCCACAATGTTGTGTATGATTTATTCCTATAGTTGCCGTGCCAAAATTGTCGAATATTCATATGCTTGTGAAAAACAAGGAAGTTCACTTTGAAACAAACATAAAAAAAAGTGAGGATGTCCTGAGAGAATTACCTCTGCCTGACTGAATGATTATTTCACATAGTGGCTGCCCCTGTTATACTGTAGAAGGTTGTAATAACAGAGTATAATGTTTATTTTGCCATCAAGTGTGTATGCGGAGTCTATTGTTATTCAATTGAGTTCGTTATCTCGCCTATTCATATCGAGACCCTCTATTGAGTGTGCAAAATGACGTCATAAGATAGTCAGTATATTATACACCATGGGTAATGCATATAACTGACATCCAAAACATACAGCATGTGGAACATATTTAGTATTGCTCTCTCTCTCTCTCTCTCTCTTTCGTTTCGACTTTAAAAAAACTTCACACATACTCTCTTCGCCTGACTCATCCCTCACCCCTCCACTCTCTCTCTCTCTCTCTCTCTCTCTCTTCATTTCTTATATATCTCTCACGCATCTGATTACCGGTATAACTTCTGAAAACAGATTATTTTTCCCTGCACCATAATCATCAAATGCCTTTAACGTCATGAATAGAATGGTATTGTGTAATTCATCAACAATATACATTTCAAATAATGTGGTGGATACAACTTAAAGAGAAGGTTGAGTTCTGGGAAGAGGTGAACAATAAATTGTGAGCGTTATCATTGTAGTATGCAAGTGTAGAAAAACAGAGTCGCATGACCAGAACTCAACTTTATCTTTAATGTCTCCCCAATCAATTCTGTATACTTAACTTGACGATGATTAATTCATAAAATATTAATTATGTATCAATCTACTTATTTCATAGCATGCAATCCTCAAATTTTGCTATTATAAATAATTACCTGCAGTATAACACAATCCTTACTATAATGTGTAGGTCACTTCTCTGTCATCAATTTTTTCAATGACGGAAATCAGTAACAAATCTGCTGATAACCAATCAGAAGCAAGGATTTCAGTAGCTTGTAACAAAAACTGTCATTTGTCACTAATGACAAGTTTTGTGAAACACCTCCCTGGTCATAATTCTAAAACCACACTGGATGTTATATATTATATACCATTAACTTATGAGTACGGTATCTTAAAGGTGAAGACCAGTTTTGAAAAACACCCCCCCCCCTCCCTCTCAAAAAAATGAAATGGAAGCTCTTATTACCAATCGTGTGAAAGAATAGTTTTTGACTAATATGTGATGATAAAAATTTTGCCGGGAAACCGCCTACTAATTGATATATTTGGTAAATCCAGACTGGATAGATATAGGGTAGTCCCATATACATCTTTCTATGTAGAGTGCTTGTAACTTTACCAAGACTGGGCCAAATTCCTTATCATGTTGATGATTCCAGAACCTTGCAGTACACACCAATACTTATATCCTACAATAATAGGTGATCAACCTTTTTTGAACGATTCTACAACGTTTCTTTCACAATGCAATCGCATGCCAGAACTGGTCTCACTATGACAATGACGGACAAAGAAAGAGGACAAAATATACAGTTCCTCAGGTAGACAAAGGAACATCCCTTCACTGCTATTATGTAAAAATGTGTAGAACAGGTGTCACATGCATATTCACATTTTTACTCATTTGTACATAATAGCAGTGAAGGAATGTTCCTTTGTCTACCTGAGGAACTGTATATGTTGTCTTCTTTCTTTGTCCGTCATGTTTATAGTGTCTTTACCTTTAAATTAAAAAATCAATAAAATATTTGCAAACAAAAATGAATGCCCTCTGTTGCCTTCGTTTCCTGCCAATGGCACCCGATTCGATATCAGAACATAAATGTAAAAAAAAATGTGAGTATGCAAGGGTATTTTTTAAAAACTTTAATAACTATTTATGGCGTTCTTGAGACAAGTAAAGTTTGCATCCATCTTTGTCATGGTTACTTCAGTGCCGTTGATCTCTTTATTAATGCATACATGTATAAATAATAATATTCCCTATCACTTGGAGTCTGTGTCTGATTAGTTGCAATTATGGTCCAGTTAAGTAAAAGCATTCATCATTGAGAATCTAATTAATTCCACAATAAATGGGATCTTAATGATGATTACAAATGGGGAGAAATAATGCTTTAATAATGGCATTTTCTAGAACACGGCTGATCAAACTTTCTGGAGTGTGACTGATTAAAATGGGCAGATCGTGTGAGCCAAATAACATTAGTGTATAGATGGATGAGTTTGAACATACAGAAATGCCATTCATATTACAATGTATACAACTGAATGATATTCGAGAGAATAATTTTCATTAGATTGGCTCTTCTATGTAGATCTGCCCAAGTGTCTTCTGTTCTCCCCCTTCTCCGTCTGCTTGTCTGTCTCTCTCCCCCTCTCTCTCTCTCCATCTCTCTCTCTGTGTCTCTCCCCTCTCTATCTCTATCTCTCCATCTCTCTCTGTCTCTCCCCTCCCTCTCTCTGTCTCCCCCTCTCTCTCTCCATCTCTCTCTCTGTGTCTCTCCCCTCTCTATCTCTATCTCTCCATCTCTCTCTGTCTCTCCCCTCCCTCTCTCTGTCTCCCCCTCTCTATCTCTATCTCTCTCTCTGTCTCTCCCCTCTCTATCTCTATCTCTCCATCTCTCTCTGTCTCTCCCCTCCCTCTCTCTGTCTCCCCCTCTCTATCTCTATCTCTCTCCCTCTCTCTCTGTCTCTCCCCTCACTATATCTATCTCTCTATATGGAGGCTACAGAGGGGAAGTTGTCCCCCTCAAGTTGGATTCCGCTCCCCCCCCCCCCACAAACACACAATATTTATACAAAAAATAGAATATATTTCAGTTCCCTAGAAGTAATACCTTCCTGGACCGTGGTTCATATAGGGCTGTAACCTGACACCTTTGTACCGTTCATATCCGATAGCGGCTAGACACAGAGGTGTATTGATAAAAGCGAGATATGTGCCTTTAATATCAAGATGTGTGCCTTTAATGGCGAGATGTGTGCCTTTAATATCAAGATGTGTGCCTTTAATGGCGAGATGTGTGCCTTTAATAGCGAGATGTGTGCCTTTAATAGCAGTGGATCATTTACCGGTGATTGATTACCGTTATACCATTTACTCTCTTACAAAACGTGCCCCACTTCTGCCGTGCATTCTGCATATTAGTGTGATAAATACATATCCTCTTGTATTACGAAATTACGACGGCAAACTTTGCTCTCATTAATGGATACCGTCTTTCCTATGGCAACAAATGGGGATGTAATTTGCGGTCAAGACCAATTTCACCTTCGTTAAACTCTAAATGTAAATACGTCGGGGATACAAAGGTCGATTAATTGTTTTGCCGCTATCAATCTATACATGCAAGAAGCTCGAGTGCGTTTGCTCGACCGTATTATATTAGAGGGATGCTCAAGGGAGTCAGGTAGAGGGTTGACACCCCCATTCCAATTTCAATTGTTCGTGTTTTTGCCGGCTAACATTGGTAACATTTAATCTGCTTGTTGGGAAGAAGGAAATAGCTGTCGGGAAGTTTGAAAATTATCTCTTTTTGTCTGCTCTGTATTTTGACATGTCCTTGTAATCTGGTACTTATAATATTAACTATCTTTTGATTATACATCTTCTTTAGGTGTGCCACATATGGTCACTTCTTTCCTGGGTGCTGGCTATCAAGAAACTTGCATATTGTTGTATCAATGTATATTGCATGTATTCTACTCTTTCTAAAAATGTATAATTCTATGTATGTATGTTATTTTTTGTAATTGCTTTGCTTGTGAGATAGAATTGAATTGAATTGAATTTTTTTTTGCTAATGTATTTGTCGGCGGATCTTTCAGAGCCCCTCCCCCACCGATGAAAACGGTGTATTTACGCCATTAGAGATTCATTAATACACACGAGAGTTCCGTCAATGTAGGTGAGCACGTGTGTGTGTGTGTGTGTGTGTGTGAGAGAGAGAGAGAGAGAGAGAGAGAGAGAGATGGGAGAAAGAAAGAGAGAGAGAGTCAAAGTGAGGTGAGATGGAGGCGAATAGCTAGTTATGTTTGCTCTTGTTACGACCCCTCCCTCCCCCCTCACAGAAAAAAAAATATATATTGCGCATTAACATTAAGAAGATTAATAGACAGAGCTCAATGTTGTATAGATCCTCTCAGGAAAGGACACGGTGTCGTTTGTTTTCTCCTAGGCCCTGGCTGACCTGATAGACCTGCTTGGTTTATATTATTTGTCTTAAATGTTAACAAAATTAATTTATCGCCCAAAAAACTTAAACGATTTCTTGCTTGTGCTCATTGATGTCTGGACATGACTTTCATTACTCACTCCTCGGTAAATTCAGACGATCTCGAAGAGGGGGAGAGAGAGAGAGAGAGCTCTCTTGTCACTATTAGAGAAGTTCAGAGTGAGCAAATTGAACACAAGATGTCGCTCTTCAAAGTTGTATCGAACACACACTCACTCGCACACCTAGTCTCTCTCTAATCTCTACCTCTCTCTCTCTCTCTCTCTCTGTCACTCTTGCTCCGTCCTTGTTCTCTGCCTGTTCCCCCATCTCCCTATGTATTTAGGTATATTCTTCTTGTCAAGAAAACATGCATAAATAACATGAATTCGGAAGTTCACTAGACATCTACAGAAACCAAATAAACAATATAACATGGAAATTTTCTGCTTAAAAATGTTTGTTTAATAAAATACATTCATTTTACCTACACTATGCAAATAAGTGAAATCATGTTCTTACAAATTCTACATGTCAGACATAATTACACAGAGCTCTTCAAAACATTGACTAATCATGAATTGGGTCCAATTCAGGAAAACTTACAAAGAGGATCATTTACAAACTTATCGTTAAAATAAAATACATTCCAATTTCTCGAATACATCCATAAATATAAAAAAATATATAGACAAAAAACACGGACATGAAGTCAACACTGCTAGTGTATTGCAAATACACGAAAGATACATTGGCATACCAATGGCGGCATGACTTCTGTACTTTCAAATCTACATTTAAATTGCAACATATATGTTAAACTTGCTCATGCGTGGGTATAGAGAGGGCACACGGAAGCGTAGTACCTGTTGGCTCAGTGTCATGTAGTGATCGCCAAGTTGCCTACTTCACGAACGACAATAGGGACTTTTAGATTTGTGCGTCGATATACTGGACAGCTTTATGTGACGTCCTCTACAATATGATGTCCTTTGAAGGCACTGCCACTGCCTTAAAAGGACGTTACACGTAGCAGTCCACTATGTCGACGTACAAATCTAAAAGTCCTTTATATATCCACGCATGAACATCTGTAGATGCCCCGTCCCATCTAAAACATGAAATAGACATTGATCCTTCTTATTCGGTCATACTTTGTTTTCAAAATGTACATGAAAAATTGAAAAACAAATTAAATTACAATAAAGATTTTATTGATTATATATCTATCAAAAGCTAATTAACCATACAATACAGCAATGCATACTATTTACTTTTTAAATGTCTGAAAGCTTTGAATCAAGAGCGTTGAAACCCGGAAATCTTCTAGCTAAAAACAGGGAATGTTTTAATCAAGTCTATTCCGTCATCAATAACTGAGAAAACGAAGTTCTTGAAATTTTCTGTACAGAGCAAATTGAAAAGGAGCTCACATGATACGTCACATTGTGGCCAATTTGAGTTTCTAATTTCTAATGCTTGTTTTTACTTTTTTGGGCCGGGGGGGGGGGGGGTACATGCCCCCTGTGCCCCTCACCCTGAATCCGTCTCTGAGAAATGAAGTGATTTTTTTTTTACATTTCTTTTTTTTTATTGGTTTTCGACTCTTCTTTCCACATTTTCACCATTTTCATCATTACGACTCTTTTCCATACATCCATCATAAATTACTCTTTGACTTCCTTTTCATACTTTCCTTTCATACGTTTCACCATTACGACTCTTTTCCATTCTGTCATCATTTAAGGAATAGTTGAGTTGTTGTTTCAGACCGCAAATTCCTTCAAAGGGCATGGTTATTGCTCTTATTCTTATTTATGACATTACTAGTGCTCTTTTAAGACCTAACATTGCTATGAAGGTCATTTGAGACCCCCAAATGTTTGAAATTTAGCCAAAACGTTCCTACTAATTCAGCTCCACTTTTGAAAAAAGGTGACCATTAAATAATTAATTAACTAATAATAACAATACACAGCCCAGCTGGTCGTGGGTTTTATAACCAATACCAACAAGTCAACACAAAGCCAACATCGGCATTGGCTGGAATAAAACGTATCAGGCGCTATCTGATCTCGTTTTTTCAATGGTTGGTTTAAATTATCGAATATTTGTGGGGGACCACAAATATAAGAAATTGTTTTATTTATGGATATTTCAGGCGTCTCTCAACCGAGTTTGATCAAAGATGATTTTGTCATCTAAATTGTATGTTCTTTCAAATTTGACACTCAGTTTCTCATTATCTCACGAATAATTATTTTGTGTAGCGCCCTCTGCAACAAAACTCAAATATCCCTTTAATGGCTCTTTGACTCCTTTTTATACTTTCCTTCCATACGTTTCACCATTATGACTTTCTTCCATTCTTTCATTATAAATGACTCTCTCTCACGTCTCTCTGACTTCTTTCCTCCATAAACAGTTATTTTCTCACTATTAACTTTACGTTTACTAAGAAATGTTGACTCGAAAGTTGTATGTTTTGATGTTTAATATAATAATATATACACTCCAAAATTACGGGAACGTTAAGTATTGATTTTATGACATAATCATAAATATGACACATAAATATACAAAGTATAATATCAAACATGTATTATAACAGTACAAAAGGTTCATCATGTAAAATAACAGTATTCATGAAATGAGATCAAGATAAAGAACCTTAATCAGAGTTCATTATTATTATTTTGAAAAACATTTTACCAGATTATTTCACATCAAATTGTGCAATTCATAGCCATAGTACGAGAAATTCAAAATACTTAAACACCAGTTTTGGAAACCCCCCCCCCCCCCAAAAAAAAAGGAAATGGAAGCTCTCATTACCAATCAGGTTTGACTAATACATGATGATACAAATTTTGCCGCGAAACCGCTTACTAATTAAAAGTTCATAGGAAACCATGCAGGCAATTTTTTTATGCAAGCCTTCAGATATGTTTTCTACAGAGTTTGATAGCAAGTTTTGAGAAAAATTGCAATTAATACACAAGTAGTCATTGGTTATTACATTATGCGAATGCATCGTAATTGAATGGCCTTTTTTATATTCATTATCAAAACAAAATAACATAAATGTATATATATATCTCAAACAATACAGATGGTTCAAAAAGCATTTCATCCTTTTGTCTATGTCTCATGCATATCTTCTTGTTTTCTGTGTCTCTGTCTGCAGGTCGTGGGTTTTCAGTACGGTATAATGTGTTGTGTACTTTGTAATTTAATCAGTACCTATGAAACCTGAGAGACGGATATCAATTTCCGTATTGATCAAATGCAATCAGAAACCCGGCTTCCAGATGCGGATTTTTTTAGGAGAACGCACATCCAGATCTGTGGAAGCATGAATGCCATCCGCAAACAAGAGTAAAAAAGATCAGATACCAGAACAGGCCAGCTACAACCTGCCGGCTACTGCTACCACCTCCCAAAGGGGTATCAGAAGGACTTCATCAAGTGACACAAAAACTTTCCAATGACCATATTGGTAGAGTTGCGAAGAGTGATTCACTGATCATGGAAAATGCAGAGAGACATTACATGAAATGTTGGCATGACACCGATCAACATGCTGATATCAGAACCAAAATGAGGGAGGCTGCCCGCCTGTTGATTGAATTACGCTCATTGACAAAGAGGTGTAATGCATCGATGGGTGAATTTATACACCCAGGAGAATTTAAGACCGTAATAGCAGGAGTTCAAAAGGTTGCAGGATTTGACGATACTAAAATGATCTACAAGACACCCTCACTAGCCCTTAAGCTAGGCCACACTCTGCAGAAGTTCGCAAAAATTCTTCAGGGAAGAGGTGGAGAGACAGGTGATGATCAGTTGTACAGGCATGCAAAGGCATTTGGAGAGAGAGTTCAACATGAGTGGAGTGTCTTTGTTTCATCAGGTGCTCTAAGAACTCTGTACACTCTAAAAACAGAAGTGCTAAAAAACGAGTGCTAAATACGAGTTAGCACCTGGGGGGTTATTTCTAGCACCTCAAGTGCCATTTACTTCTGGGAAATGATGATGTGCAAACAAATTGGTGCTGAAATTAAGTGCTGAATATCAAAGACGCTAGTTTTGCACTTGAAGTGCTGACCAGCAAAGGAGTTGGTCCAGTGGTGTTAGCTGGATGTACAAGGACGCACCTGTAGTGCGAGTTTAACCGGGATCGGTCGGAGCCAGCATGCAGCGCACGTGGCTTGTATGTACTGTCCTATACGTAGACCGACTGCATGTATGCGGTACCGGTACCGGCCCCGAGATCAAGACTTGTCTGTACATGTTTTTATTACACGTTCCTTTTGCATTCGCCTGCCCTTTATATAGCAGAAAACATGGTAAGTTAGACGTACGTTAATTGTAGAAATTTAGTTAATTTCATACTTGTGATTATAAAGCAACAAATGCAGATTTATAAACTAGAAAGTGGGAAGTAAATTGTGTGCAATTTAAGACCAGCCATACACAATTAACGCTATGTAACAGTAATACGCTGTCGCTTCGGGACAGTTGGGCTAGCGGACCGGCTATATATAAAACGTATAGCTAGCTGCAGCTAATGGGTCGCAACAATCGAAATAGCGGAACTTCACGAGCAGCCATGCCGTTAGCTACCCATGACTTGAACGTGTGCTAGGTGCGCGCCGTACCGGTTACATCCATAGCCGCGAAGCTGGTGCCGCGACGCTCTCAAAGACATCGATTAAACTCTCCAAAGAGGGCTTAAATGTTGATCAAAATATTTCAACAGACCATCGAGGGATAAAGACAAAGTGCAGTGAGTAATACAAACTAATTTAGTTGAGTTTAAAGACAAATAAAGCGTTGAAAAAAAAAGAAAAAAAAAATAGGTACGAAAAAAATTAAAAAGGAGTAGTCTACGAAAGCACAGTAGCGCCGTTCTAATTTATGCAAAACAACGTGGTCTTCACTCCAAAATGTTAACATTCATGTTTTGATTCAATTCTTGAATCTTGTCCGCTCCAATTAAATTTTGCGTATATAGTCAGTCTTTACTCACGGCCTTTTATAATCAATGTTATATTCTCTCTTGATTCATTCAACAAAGATTTGCACACTTTTTTGTTCAATGTGTCACTGCACTATGTTTGCTCCTTTATTTTAGATTCTTGACGTTGTACAAGAAACGAGCATTGGCAGCTAGAGTAAGTATCACAGAATTACATTCCAGAAGAAGTCCAAAAGATTACACGCACAAATACGAAGTCTATTAAAATAAATCTTAAACTAATTATCACCAAGTTACATAAACTAAACAGATGAAAATACAAGCACAAGCATGGGTTACATATGCTTCAAATGTAATATCAGGATACCAGGACCTGTATCAAATTTAGTCAGCCATTTGCACATGGCACATGCTTTATTTGACCTGAAAAATCTCCACCTAGTGTGTAGTCAAGGAGGATGCCCATCATCATTCAAAACATTTAATTCATTTAGAAAACATATTGTTAGGTCACATCCCTTTGATGAGGCTGACCATGAGGAAAATATACCCATTAAGTATGGCAATAGAGAAGACGATGAAGATTCTGATGTAGATGATGATGTGGAGTTTGGACGTAATGTGGAAAACAATGAGGATGACATGAATGATGACATTTCTAAGAGTGCAGCAAGATTTCTTGCTGGTCTTCTTTCAGAGACTAATATGACTTATGCTTCTATGCAAAGAATTGTTTCTAGTACCTCAGAATTAAATCAGGAAGTTGTAAACAATTTGAGGAGAAGAATTGTTGATGCTCTCGGTAGGGTAGGATTACAGAAAGGTTCTGAACAATACGAGACTATCATATCCGAGTTTGATAGAGAGACTCGTTTGTATGAGGGTCTCAGTTCTAGGTATAGTCAGGAAAAATTCATCCATGATCATCTAAACATTGTCCAGCCTCAGAGTATATTTCTTGGATTTCGTCATGATGTTCGCACAGATAAACAAACTGGGCAAACAAAAGAAGTGCTCGTGCGAGAAACTTTTCAGTATATTCCTGTTCTGTCAACCTTGGGTATGATTCATGGAAGTGAAGTTGCAAGTCACGAAATTGAAGTAGGACACTGCAGCAATGATGGAATATTGCGAGACTTTTGTGATGGTGATCACTACAGAAATCATCCTCTGTTCTCTAATGGGCAAGCAATTCAAATCTGCCTCTACTTTGATGAATTCGAGGTAGTGAATCCTCTTGGGTCTAAAAGGGGGATTCATAAGATTGCAGCATTTTACTACACCCTGAAAAATCTGCCTCCATGGATGAATTCATCGTTGGATAATGTTCATCTACTTGCTTTTTGTAATTGTATCGACCTAAAGAAATATGGCTTTGATGCAGTTTTGGCCCCCTTTGTGGATGAAGTTAAGAAGTTGGAGACAGAGGAAGGAGCACAAATTGTCCTGCCAGACAAATCTGTGAAAACAGTGCGAGGGACACTCGCTCAGGTTTGTGGGGATAATCTTGGCCTGAACGGATTGCTAGGATTTGTTGAAAGCTTTTCTGCCAACAGGCCTTGCAGGACCTGCTTAGGTCAGAGGGAAGAATTTCAGACAAGGTTTCTTGGAGAAGAATTTGAGCTGAGAAATAGAGAGAGTCATGGGGAACATGTTGAGGCTTCTCAGCAAAATGCAGCAGCTGTCTCTCAGACTGGTGTTAAGAGGAATTCCATTCTCAATTCACTTCAGTTTTATCATGTCGCTCAAAATGTTGTGCCAGACATCATGCATGATGTGCTAGAGGGTGTTGGTCCAATGGAGGTGAAATTGGTTTTACATCAATTTATATATGTGGACAATTTTTTCACTCTCGATACTTTGAATTCACACATATCCAGTCACTCCTATGGGTTTTGTGATCAGAAAAACAAACCATCTTGTATTCTTGAATCAACCTTGAAAAATAAAGACAACTCCTTGAAGCAGCATGCAAGCCAGATGTGGTGTCTCCTGCGTGTTTTGCCTCTCCTGATTGGTTCATTCATCCCACGCGGCAATTTGCATTGGAGCTTGATCTTATTGTTGAGGACCATTGTAGATGTTGTATTTTCAGATTCAGTCACAGAAGGGCTGATTATATATTTGAAACACCTCATCCATGAACATCACACTTTGTTTCGACAGGTGTTTCCCAATGTGAACCTTCTCCCCAAACACCATTTTATGGTGCATTATCCTATGGCTATGAAAAAAATGGGACCACTTATCAATCTATGGTCAATGAGATTTGAAGCAAAACATAGTTGTAATAAGAGGCTAGCAGGGGTAGTCGGTTGCTTCAAAGATTTCTGTTTGACTGCAGCAGCAAGACACCAGGTTAGCCATTGTAGTGCATGGTCTCAACAGGGTCAAGGAAATCCCACAGCTGAAGTTGAAGATGTTGTTGCATGTTCCGTTGCTGAGATAGCTTACTTTCCTGCTCTTGTTGATGAACTCCCTGGACTTCGATTTTAGTAGAAAATTTAAATGATTTTGAGAACCCACACAATTATTTTTACCAATTTGGTGGGACATGATAGAGTGGATGGAAGCAATAGTATCTTGATGAATTATTTCTGGCTCTTTGTTTATCAATATATTTTATGTACATCAGATACATCACTAATATCCTTTGGCAAGATATTTACCTGCACTTGCTACTCTCCACCCAGGTGTTAAATGGGTACCCGGTAGGATGCGACAGTCATTGTTGGTCAAACAGTTTTTGAGCAGGGAGTTTTCAAACAGGGAGTGGAGTATTGAATCCAATGACCGGGGCAAAGCGCTAATAGAGACATCATAGATGTATTAAGCGCTATATAAAAACGGAATTATTATTATTATTATAATGCAAATTGTACATTCTTATTTCACCCGTGAATCAAAGGCATATACGGCTTCGATCAGATTGTTTCATTCATAGTGAATACTTTTTTATTTCTTGCTTGTTCATATTTCCAGAGAATTTATTAAAGATTCCCTACTGGACGATTCTCAAGACGTCACCACACACGTCAAATTACCTGACCTTGAAAGTAAGTAATTGGACAGTAAATTAAGCTACATTATTATTACCAGGTATGTGAGAAATAATTTTTGAGTTCATTTTACATTACAAGTGAAAGCTGATTACTTATAATTTAAATTGAGAGCAGTATATCTTGTTCAAAGTGGATAGAGCGTTGAATTGACGGTCGCAATTAAAACAGAAAACTATTGTTATCTGTAATGCACATATTCCTCTACGAAATTTAAGACATTCTGTAATGGAGGTTATTCATATAAAAAATAGTTGAGGTATCCAAGATGCTTTGGTTAATTTATGCATTTCCAAGTGCAGCTTCCCATGCATACAATTTACATGTGACTGCTTTAGTTTAGTATAAAAATACCCCAGGCCCAAATGAAGAAGTGCTTGCTCAGTCTTTGTCAGCATTTTTGCTTTATGTTGTTGAATATATGGGAGGCTTGGGAGCCATTTCTCTTGCATTCTAAATATGACCATGTTTCTGATTATGTAACATTTACTCAGTGAAAATGATACTGTGGTACAGACATATTGTCCCACTGTCAATATTGTCAAATTAGTGCAAAGTTTTGTTTCACATTTTTCACTCATGTAATGAATTTTTACTTTTCTATGTAGGCAAGTCACCTCGGTGTGAGACAAAGACAATCACAGATTTGTGTTATGATAATGTTTCTTTGTGCTTTGCTTCTATAGAGCCAACAATCCATCTGATCATGCTGGACCCAGTGATATTCATCTTGATCCAGCTCATCAAATTACAGGTAAATTGATGCATTCTTGGCACAAAGAATAACACATTTAGGAACTACCTACAGGTGTAGTTCAGTAGTTGTGTTAGACATTGGCACTGAATTGCCCACCTTTGGTCAAATTTCCAACTCTGTCATTGTAAGAGAGACTGTCTTCTTAACAGGATATTTGTTGAAAGCTGAATACTTTGATGAACATCTCCATTGCTACATTGTGAATGAAACTGATGAAATGTTCTTTACACGTCCAGGTAGTTTGAAGAGTTTCCGTACCCTACATTTAAACAGGTATGGGGAAAAGATGGCCATTATTCCAAGGAATCACATCTTATGTAAGACCTGAATAAATGGTGCTCGTTGTCAAAACCTATACCTGGTACATCAATTGTTCTTGCAAAAAGGCAAATTAAATGTAATGTTCTCAACTTCTCACCATCTTATTTTTTGAATGGAATTTCTTTTTATTCATTTCATTCTCATTTCCTACAGGATTATCAATGCCAGGAGATCAGAGCAATTTATATGTTATACAAATTGAGGGTGCTGTAAATTTTCTATTGCTGATTATCGAGGCATATAAAGAAAATGTAATAACAAAAGAAGAATTAGTGAATTTCTTAGTTCAGTTTTTATACCAGCATTGAACCCAAATAATGGATCTCAAAAGAATGTATGTTACGTACAATGGGGACCAAAACAGTGATAGGAAAAAGCTAGTAAAGTTGGACACGACTGATTTCGATAGCATGACATTCAAAATCAAACAAACATTCGCCCTTCCAATGGACGAAAAGTATGCATTCCACGGCCGTGTAGAAGCCAGTGGACCACTCGTTGAACTGGATGAACATGACAGCGAAATCCTGGATGAGTTAATCGAGGTCTCCTTCAACAGATGCGGAGGTTCCTCTCGGGGTGTACCTGTAAGTACCGAAATACTTGCTTTTTTCCAAATAATAACTGAAGTGTAAATATCTGCAATGAATATTGGCAGAATACCATAGAATGAAGGAATTTGTCTGCGATGGACTGTAATTACTGTATGCACAAATCATGTTAATTAAAATACATGTTTTTAAGATTAATAATACTACAGTATTGACTCTATAGAGATTATGCAGTGGATACATTGGCAGTTTTCTTCCCAACTTCTACTTTTTCTTTACTTTTCTGGTACATCTCTCCACCCTCCACTTGTCCTTCTATGTACCAAGCTCTTTAAATAAATTAGGCATTTTCTAAAATCCCCTCTTTTGTATAATTCATGTTGTTCATATTACTGTTTTATTGCTATGAACACCAGCAAAATGATGCAGAAATTAAAGAAAATCAAATCACACAAAGATCTCTTTAAAGGTAGTAGCCCACATAAGCAAAACATCGTTTTTTATTTTCAAAAGAAATAAGGTCATTCCAATTTAAAAGGACAGATCATGATGTAAAACTATCATGTCATCAAATTCAAACAAATACTGCAAAGTTAGAGGGGAAAATTAATGTTTTTTTCTCTAAAAGCATTGGGATGACCCCTTTTAGAAAACGAAGAAAATAAAAGAAAATTAAGCATTTTTGTTTCTCACCCCTAACGGAAATGAACTTGGAATTACCTATCTGCAGAAGGACATTTATGCAGATTGGTGGCCCTGTGCAAATGTGTGCTACTACCTTGAACACCAGAATTGAATAGAGCTTAGCAAGTCTGTATTTCAAGTCACAATTTTACATAACGAATTGCAGATTGTACCAGAGAGTGATTCTGACATAGAGATGTGTTCCAACATATTTCTGCAAGGATGTTCATCAGATGTCTCATCTGGGGTGTCCTTTTCATCTCCTGTCCAGTTGAAGGTACTCAGGAGTACTTGCAGTGTGATTTCATTTTGAAAGAAACTGCCCATAAACCATTCTTTTATTGTTCATTTCTCAGTAGATGAAATCCTTGTGCATAACAATGTTAGTGAGAATAGGAGAGATTCTAAAGAGATATTGAAATCACAATGTCGGCATAGTACAAACAATAAGTAAAAAGCATATTAAATGGGACTGTAATAAAAATGAATTGTATTTGCTGAGCAGCAAACACAAAATTGTTGTAATATTTTTACTTCATATTCTGCAAATATTCAGCACACTTAAAAGTGAAATATTTTTATGTAACATTGTATACATAAGATGCTTTCAGGTGTGAAACAAACAGATGGGAACTGCCCCAAAAGATTTGTTATCCATTATTGGTCAATATGCCAGATTCCGTGGTGTTGTTTCAAGCAGGATGTCAATGAGTAACACATAACCTAAACGTTTCTTCTCATTTGCTTTTGTTTTTCTTTCTTTTTTTTGGCAGTGGCTAACACATAGGCCTACACATAGATTGTTACGTGTGGAAAAACAATTTATTTAGATTTTTTTATGTAAGAACAATACATGTGCTCAAAATAATCAATTTGATAATTATTGACTTTTCACCATCTAATTTCATTTCACTTATTTAAACATTTGTTTTGAAATAAAGGTATCAAATTAAGAAGTGCAAACAAGTATTACAAATTATGAACTTCAAAAGAAGTGTGTGTAAATCCTATAATCATCCAGCTCTCTGAGATTAACAAAACATTTATTTTTAATGCAGGTGTCTAGATTGGCAGCAGGGACAATCTTTCTTTTTTTCTTAAATATACAGGAATATTTGTTTGTTTTCTATCCTAATGGATGTTTTATGGTGTAAATTGCAGTTCGTGGCTGACACCGATTCTGATCTGTCTGGGGATTCTCCCTTGTTGATTCCTCCATCGCCGCCACCTTGCAGCATGCTGCTAGCTATCAGACTGTTCTTCAGATGCCTCGCCTCAGATGTCCTCATCCCATCACAAGACATCATTCATGGTGAACCCATCTCCTCTCTCCTCAATTAAGGTCAGGATTCAGTTTCAAGGCAATAAATACCGTTTACATGAAAAAGTTGAGTTTTCAAAGATGTTATTAAATAGAAATTTAAGTTCCATTGAAAAGTCTCAAATTGCACTTCCTGTTTATTATCGTTGTTTTATTTCAAATGAAAACATTGACTTCAAGTCATTGCATAATCCAATGAACATCAAACTGTTAATGAGCACATTCAGGAGGAGGGTGACAATCCACCTCCCATTCCTTTTAAGAAAAGATATTTTTTGAAATTTCGCTGTTAGTGCTTTCAATGGCAAGAGTTGTATAGTGATTTGAGCGAATGTGCAGAATTACTGGTGACTGGTGTGCATTGAGACACCCGGGTCTATTGCTATTTGATCTTATTTCAGTGCAGATATTACACAGGGTGTACTCACTTTTGTTGCCACTTTTTATTAAGTTATCCATATTTTGTAATATAAGTTAAGAATATTTGTTTGTCTCAATTCATGTCCTTCAATGGCCATTTTACAATCTCTGTGAAACTTCTGTGAAACTCATAAAAAAAAACAATGTAAACAGTTACATTCAAATTATGAAATGTTCATGTTGGATGTATTCACTTTTGTTGGATACTGCTTCATGCTGCAGATTGTGCCAGAGAGTAATTCAGCTATGCCAGGGACATCACTGTCAAGTTCCAGCGTGCTGCTGCCGAGTTGCTCCTCAGATGTCCCGCTTCAGATGTCCTCATCCCATCACAGGACATCATCCATGGTGAACCCATCTTCTCTCCCCTCCGATAAGAAGGTCAGGATTCAGTTTCACTCAGTCAAACTAAATTATTATCTTTGCATGAATTATCTGAAACTAATAGGGTTTGATATTGCAACTTTTGTTTTATAAAACTTTTGCATTATTCCAAATGTTTGTGGTACAACAGTGAAAAAAATACCAGTACCACCAATTGCTATGCAAAAATAAGTCCAGGCTGATGTTATTCTTAACCATCAAGTTCCCAGCTCTTCCCTGAATGTGCATATCACTGATTACCCCGCTAAATAAAGTGTTAAAATGGGGTATACACAAATCAGTCTGTTGTCGAAGCAGTTGGTCTTGCCATTGCAAATTCTGCGGATCGAACTACTGCCCCAGATTGCAAGCAATGCTCATTAAATTTAGCACACACGCATCAATTAGTCTTGGAGTGAACATGTGCAAGCCCATATTTCTTGAATACGTTGGAAACTGAATTGGGGGCCATCTACAAAGTACGTACGCAATTTGTGGTCCGAAATTGACCCCCTTCCCCCCCCCCCCTGTACGCACTTTTTATACACGTGGTTCAATGGAGGGTACGCATAAGATTTTACCCCCCCCCTCCCCCCTGTGCGTACGTACTCTGTAGATGGCCCCTTGCCATGGTCACATCACATTATAGGCAGGCATATTAATCAAACTTGATATGAAAGTTATAGAGAAGGTAGGCAGAGTATACAATAGGGGTGGCATATAATCGTTGATTGGTTTGTTGCCATGACAACCCAATATTAAGTATTTTAGTTAAAGTAAATGGGAGGCTGTATGATTACTTATTCTGTTTTCATGCCACACCCCCCCCCCCCCCCCTCTATAGGGTGCAGAAAGTATTATGTTTTTGGTTGATACTGTGAGAGCCAAATAACACCTTTACTCATGGCGGTATTTACTATTTAGAGAGGTGGAGACATCCCAGTCAACTCTTAGGAGTCAAATGAGTTTGGGGCAGGGCAATTCCTCATTCGGTTTTCAGGGGATCCCATAAATGAGGCAAAAACAGAATCTGGACCATTGCTGAATTTTACTCTTTGTACAGTACTGAATGTAGAAACACGTAATCATTATTTTCTATGTTTCTTCCTTTAAATTTTCAGCTAGATTTTGACATGAAGAAAATATTAGAGGGTCACAACAGAGGTGCATCCATACTTGAGGAGTATGATAGGCTCAGGCTCATCTCCCCCACAACTAGGAAGCAGGTCATCAGCATCATGGCAGCAGAGTTAGTGGCAGTATGTGGATAGTGAGTAAATTATTATGCCTTTTGATTTGCATGATAGGTTAACTTTTGTACTTCTGTTTTGTACACATATTTGTATCTTAAAGGTAATAGCACACACTGGCGTAGCGTGTTACGTAATACTCATTCAAGTGGGGGGATGTAATCCGATGGATGAATAGCTCATCCCCCCCCCCCCCACTTGAATGAGTATCAATGTCATGTCTACACCCGTGATAGCACACATTAGCAAGGGGCTACCAAACTGCATAAATGTTCTTCTGCCGACAGGTTTAGGCCTAAAAAAAATGCTTGTAATTTTAGACCCCAGTACATTCCCCATTTAGCGCTGAGAAGCAAAAATTTAACGGCAAATTTATTTTATTTTCCTCATTTTCTCAAGGCCTCATCTGAGGCTTTAACCCTATTTTAACTTGGGGGGGGGGGGGGGGGGGGTCAAATTGACCCCGCCCCCCGTCTAATAATATCTAACTAATTTTAGCCAAATTATGCTAAGAAGAATATGTTTGATAAATTTTGTGCAAAAAAACAACGAAAACAATTGGTAAAAAAACAAAGAAATACATAAGAAATTACAAAAACAATAAAATACATAAAAAAAATTAAAAAAAACATTTTTTGAAATATTTTTGTGTACAATCATTTTGGATTACAAAGGGACTTTACATGCAAAAAATAAGAACTCTAGAAGCTTTATTTTGGGATTTGTAGCTAAAAATGATTTGTTTTTGCATAAATTAGCTGATATTGACGCATAAATTAGCATATTGAATTAATGTGGACAAATTTGCAGAAAAAATAACTATGCAGTCATGAAGATTACATTCCACTCTATTAGCGTGCAAATTATCGCGAGATCCATGGCCGAGATCTGAAAGGGGGTCAAATTGACCCTCCCCTCCCCCCCCCCCCCAGTAATTACGTGGTCTGAAGTAGCCCAGTTAAAATAGGGTTAAGAGAAAAGCAAATTATTTCTCACTAGACTTTGCAATATTGCTGTGATTTTGATAACGTGATAGTTTTACATCATGATCTGTGATTTCAAATTGAAATGAGCTTATTTCTTTTCAAAATCCAAAACGGTATTTTGCAAATGTGGGCTACTTACTACCTTTAATCTTTAAATTGGATGGTGATCGATGCACTAAATCATGCAATATGGACCCTTTGCAAAGAGCTTAAGCTTGACTGAATCATACATAAGCAGATCCTCAGTACTAAATACTGTTAAGACATCTTTGATAAACTTGATCTAAGGAAATAGAGAAATAATTTTTCTGTTGGCTATTGTGCACTGCAAAAAAAAGCTGGTTCTATCTGTTTAACATTGGCCAATAAATGGTTGTTACATTGTAACTAATTTTGCACGCGTGTAAAGATCTTGCACACACATCCATGAAAAGAGACAACAGACCCTACATCTGTAAATTCTGTTTCTTTAAGACCATGCATGTACTCCCGAAGTTGCCTGCTTTTCAACATCTTGTCATGTTTCTTGCAGCTACCCCACTATGCAGCAGAAGCATGCAGTAGCCAAAGCTATTATCTCCTTCTTCCCGGAACTGAAAGATCCCACTGGAGAGACTGGATATGTAAGTATTTACAATATAATTATGTAATACCCTGTTTAAATCTAGCCCAAATGCGGCACAACCTCAAGTAGAGGACATACCGTCTATAACCTTGTCCACTTTATATTCACACACTAGCGGCACAATTTTTTTTTCCTGAACACGGGGTAAGATATGTGCTACCCTGTCTAGCGTTAGTCCGTGGTAACCTCGGGATGACATTCTGTGTTTACCTTTGCCCCCCCCCCCCCCTTGATGTTAAATTGTTGGGGCATACAAAGCGTATGCCAGTGCATGATTTGTTGCACAAATACACTGATTTTTGTTAACAATTAAGTTTAATAGAGACCTTAAGCATTTCATATTGTATCTCACAATAAATAACAGCACAAAATATATCATATGAACAAAATATATATGCTTGCTTAGCACATTTTTTTTTTATAGTTTATTTTATACTTATATTGCGGGATGCAAAAGTAATGATTTACATACACAATGAGGCTCACAGCTGTATACTAATAATAAGTTTGTATGTGCTCTACATGTATATCAAGTTATTGAATTGCGAAGAAAGACAATGAAGCAGGTAAAGGCGTTTTTGAAATGCATGCTTATGTGGTGAGTGACAGGTTGCCACAGATACATATCTCATGATAATACCAGGTGTACATTGCAATTCAAACTGTATCTTGCATCTTACCTTGTGATTTTATAGCATTAAAGAATGGTTGTCACCCATCTTTCTGAGTCAACCTTTAATGATCATATGTCATAGTTGTGGGGACAACCTTCATACAAATGAGACCAAATTTTATATGGCAAATAGTTATAAATGTGAAAGAAGTATCTAGAAGTGTTTTGGACCACAGTAATACTTATCCCAGATAAAAGCTCTAATGGGTATTTATCTCTTACATTCAACAGGAACATATCTACTGCTCTAAAGGTGGACAGTCGGGCTATTTGTTCGACAAGCTAAAAAACATCCGGAGAAATCTGCCTGACAGTGCCAGAATGAAAAGTGGCAAGGGCAAGGGCAAGGGCAAGGTCAGCACATCAAAAGGTACTACCAAAAGGCTAGAGGCTGTCCTCACGTCTGAAGAGATGAAGGAGGCAGAAGCGCTGTGTAGGAACAGCACAGATAAGAATACAGTTCGAGCAGCAATGGCCAAATGCTCCACAAGTAGACATGCATGGATCCAGGATCAGAAACCTTTCATGAAGGACATATTGCAGAGGTACCCGCGGTACAGAGACATGCCAGACCTTGTAAGTATTAATTTGACTTATATACATGTATCATAAACTCAGATGACTTTGAAGGATGGGCTGGTTAAAAAAAATTAATGTAAGATTTTGTTTTGTATGTTTTTTGTGTGAATATGTTTGTATTACAAAAACAAAAGAAAATCATGATCATGATATCATGTTATCAATTTCACAGCAATACTGCAAAGTTTGAGTGGAATATTAGCAGTTTTTCTCTTAAAGCGTTGGGATGCCGCCTTTAGAAAACAAAGAAAATAAAATAAAATTTCACTTTCTCTTTCCGTTTCTTAATCCATAACGGGAATGTACCTTCATCTGAAATTTTACAAATGTTCTTCAGAGGCCCTAATATATCTTCAGAAGTACATTTATGCAGATAGGTAGCCCTTTGCAAATGTTTACTACTGCCTTTAAAAACTTTTGTTCGACCTTACCAGGGAGTTGAATGTACACTAGTGCCTGCAGTCTCCCAGTCGTGGGGCAGACCCTTACCAAATCTGTCATAACAATGGTATTTACCTAAACAGATTTAAGTTTAGTCCTCTACCATTATTAAAATTTTCTTCTTGCAGGTGCAGCAGGATTTCCAGGAGATTTACCCTGATGCCAGTGATTCCCTCCTCAAGAAATGGGATGGCCATGCCATGGCTCTTTTGGCCTATGCATCAACATGTAGGGAAGGCAAGGAGATCAATGATGAATACCATGCACTACTCAAGACCAGACAAGGTATTATATGAACTTTCATTGTAAGAACACACTGGAATATAACTTAGCCAATGAGGGTGTCCGCCTAAAACCATGCCTCCACAGGCCACGTGTACAGTACAGCAACAAATCTAAACAAAAAAGAGGCGACGCAGTCGTTGGCTATGAGGTGAATTATTTCTAGACACACTGCATTCCAAATAGTCACTTTCCCCTCATTTATATTCTTAACAGACAGCCTAGGCGGAAGCCGCACAATCCGACAGGTGCACAAAACTTACCACAAATAACTGGTACTGTCTAAAGTTCCATTCTGTTACATGTAATTGATTATCCAATTAGCCAGCTTTGTCAATGTGTATTCTTAACACCATCTTAGGCACCTGCTGTAAAGGGAGCAAGTCTTGGAGAAGGGCGTAGTAGGGATGCCTTTCACATACGCATTATGTAATGCTTTAATTAAATAGAGATTCTGAAGAACTGGTTCATATATTTATGCATCAAGGTTGGAGAGAGTATTTGCCTAACAAAGCAACACATGGAGTCAAATTTAGTTTTCATTTAAGGGCTGAATTAACATGATGTATAAAGGGAGGATAAGGGAAAGGACTAAAGATGTTTGTATACTGTGCACAGGTATTGTTTCCCCTGGATAACAATTCCCAACTGAAGGAGTAGTCTTGCACAACATGTATGACAGTCTGACCAGGAAAACCAGTCACCTGCTGGGATGTTTTTACCTTCCACTGATGGATGGAGATGGTGTGCTGTCCTGGCATGGGTTGGGTGGATCCTATTAAGGGACACCCACTACCTCTTTGGAAGCTTAAAGTGTGATGTACTAATATTAAGTAACACTTATGTTTCTGGAACTGGTAAGAGGGATAAGCATATATTGATCTTAACTGTCACACAACAAACTACTCTAATTTATATTTTATATATTTAATTTTTTTGTTAGTAATGTAGACTTTCCTCCTACTTTTTTCAACAGAACACACGCAGCTATTTGGTTTCCTGGTACTCATGAAGTTCCTCCCTTCATACAATACAAAGGGCAAAGGGCGTGTCTCACAAGCAGATATGGAACATTGCATTGTGCACTTCCATGACGTAAGTGTTGTGCTGCTAGTATTTCAAGTGTTTTAAATACAAGAAAATGACATGCTGGTAAATATACATTTGCACCAGTCAATGGCTTAATTTACAGGGGTGACACATCACTTTGGTAAGATTTATATTCGTCTGCACAGTATAGATACGATTTGATATAAGTACAGCTTCAGTTGATACAATGGGATCTTTGTTTAAGTAGGGGAGGGAAGTTGAGAATTGGGCCAACAGAAGTGAAAATACATGAATTAAGAAAGTAAATGAGACAGTGATGGAAGCATGCACAAACACACACACACACACACAAATGTTCTCCAAGTGTATGAGACATTTAAATCAATATGGGACAGACATGCGCACTCTGAAGATGTGCAGTGTCAAGCAGGAGCTCTATTAAAAAATTTTTAAAAAAGGCTCACATACATTCACGTATGACCAGTACAATTGAATGGCATTGTCTAAATACATTTTTGTTTTCTATTCCTTCTTGTCTTACTGAGCGATATTGTTATTTATTTTTGTGTGTGTGTGCTACAGGTCCACAGGCCTGTGACTGAATGCTTGAAGGACACGGCCACGAGACGGCCCTCCTTGCTAGTGAAGGGCACAAAGAACAACGTTGAAGAGATCTTCCTTCAGATAGAAGAGTATGCATGCCCTCTCCACACACCAAACATCGTCAACGCATTTGACATCCTCTTCAAGAGTTACTATGTGTACAACCTTGCTTACCCCGTCCCAGCTTCTATCTTCTATCTGTATCTCCAGACTCAAATCTTCGGATTGCACCATGATGGCAAACTGCCACCTGCCATCAGAGAAATAGCATCAGCAGTGAATGCTGCAAAGAAATGACATTTTACATCTGAAACCATCTGAAAACGTCTGATTTGCAAAGTTTTTCAGGCAGTTTTTTTTTTTTTAAGGACCTCCTTCGTTTTCCTTGCAGCAGCAGGGTGCTAAACAAGGTTCACATATTTTCCTTGTTTCTTGCATTTCAATTAAGAGTATCTCTTAAATACAAAAATTAAACAAAAAAATCCCTATGACACATGTCAAAATGATGTTAAATGTCATTCCAAACTGATAAAAATGACTCTAGAATGTAAGATTTTGAGCAAGAAATTAATGGATTATGCCTGTCACCTTTCTCCACTTTCAGTTGCTAAACCAAACTGCAAAGAGCGATGGGCGCAGCCATTACTTACAGTTATGTTTAATTCTGTGACATCATATCCAACCAAATAACAGACTTCTTTTGTAAAAAGTCACTGATCTGTACAAAGGTGATCAGTGAGTTGTTTAGTAATGACATCACAGATATGAACAGGAATGTAAGTAATGGCTGCACCCATTGCTCTCTGCAGTGTTTGGTTTTATAGCAACTTGAAGTGGAGAAAGTGGCAGGCATATAACCGATTACTTTCATGTCCAAATCTTACATTCTAGAATCATTTTTATCTGCTTGGACTGGCGTTTAATTAGCATCAATTTGACATGGACTTCTTTGGGAAAACTCATGGAAAAACTTCCTTTAAAGCACAAAGATAGTTTTGGTAAATCTAAAAAACTTTCAAAAACATTCTTCGCAGAAATTCTAGTATTTGATCATGATTAAGAAGGCAAGTTATCGAGTAATAAGGGTTTGCTACTTTGCCTTAAATTTTTTATTTTTTTTTTAAATAATTTACTTGAATTATCTTTTTTGTTATGTCGGAGGACCTCTGAACAAATCTATGCATGTTATCAGCTTTACTTTACAAGGGGTAGTTAAAATAAATCGTAACTATAATTTCGGTTCAATGTGTGAAAGTTGTTCAGAAATACTTTGGAAGGTGTTTTATCAAATATAGAAGAAGTTTTATTTTTATAAATTTTATTTACCAAAACTATCTTTGCTTTAATATAGGCCTATTTTTTGGCACTGAAACTCTCCAAGTAGTTATCTGAATAAATGTTCAAACCCACTTTTCAGACATTATAGTAGTGCATATTAGGTTGATATGTGGTAAGAGAAGTAATCGTGTTGTGAACATGTTTATTTAATGTTAATGTTATGATGTACCTTTCCATTTTTTATAGTTCTGTGTACATAAAACTTGCACTGCTGATAAAATCAGCTCTGAAATTATTAATAATTTTCTTTCATTCCCTCTCTTTTCAATGTTTTAACCCTAATCCCACTGGGTTATTTTGGTCACTTGAGTCCATTGGGGGGGGGGGGGGGGGCATCCGACGCCCCGATGGTCTAGACGCACGACGAAAAGACCGACAGGGGGGGGGGGTGTCAGATGCCCCCCCCCCCAATGGGATTAGGGTTAATCATAACAATAGTACCTTAATAATGTGTAAGGCATATGTCCATGCTTCTTTATGCATGCACACTTTTCAAATTCAAATATTTGATTACATAATATAAATCTGTAGTGCCTATTGACATAGCTTTGTATTTAGAGGAGTAATGTTTTGAACATGTACAGTTTAATGCCGACAAAATCAGTTTTGGCATTTGTGATTGTCATTTTATGTCTCCACTCAGAAGGGTGGATGAGGCATCACTTCTTTTTGGTTGTCTATTTATCTGCATATCTATCTATATCATATGTCAAAAATGATTTGATTGAAATTGATGGGAATGTGAAAAATCAAGACAAAATATTGATTGAGCAAATTGGGTCAAAGGTTAAAAGTTTCACTAAGTTTTGATTTTGAAGGTTTTACTTCACATATTAGTGTCTAGTGATGATGCAAATTAGTAGTTGAACATGTGTAAAAGAAATTAGCCTTGTTAACACGATGAAAGCCAAGTTCATAAGAATTGCAATTCTTAAGAACTTCAAAATGTATGTCCACACAATGGCAGATCTCGCGAGTTGCAATTCTTAGGAATTAAAACCGGAAGCAGTGTGCGCGCCTTTCTCATTTGAGGTCCGCGCACTCACTTGACTTATGCTCACGCCGGAAGCATATCTCGGTCATGAGGTCAACCCAAACCACAAGTCTCAAAGATTTTTTGTGTCCACACGGTCTTTAAAGTGATGATGCAAATTAGTACTTGTACATATGTAAAAGAAAATGACAACCGAGTTATTAGGAGCAGTTGAGGGCCAAGATTAACATTCCTTTAGGCATAGAATAAATCATGACCATGAGATCTGACTAGAAATCAATTACAAGCTTTATACAACAAGTTTATACAACAAACAACACATTACTTGTAACATATTTTGCTTTTATCACTGTGTGTATGTTAATGTGCTTGAGTATTAGATCGTTTATAACGAGGTACCGCTTATAACGAGGTAAAGTTGGCAGTCCAGACGACCTCGTTATAACGGGGTTTTCCTGTATAAGAATAATATGTAATGCTTACTATGACCATGCTTCTTTATCCATCCACGCTCTTCAAATCTAAATAATTAGTTACATATGATGAGTTAACTGTGTTAATTCTTATCGATATATGGAGGTTTGTTATTACAAGAGTAAGTGTTTTGCAAATGTTGTTTAGTTTAATGCTGACCAATCGTTGGGACTGTCCCTTTTAAATTTGGCAATTTTGTTAAGGTTCTGTTTTGACATCCAGATAAGGTGTTCTTTATAGGCATAAAGTGCAGAACTTTGTCAACATGTGCCTTTACTGCAACAGTGTTTTTTGGTTAAACTGTTAATAAAATACCAACTATATATATAAAGTCATTTATTTGTCTTTTTTTTGTGTGTGAGTACGTGTGACAAAATTGCATAATTTCACTATATATGAAATATAACGCCTGGAGTGCTAAAACATATAACACCAGTAGTGCTAAACATTACAAAACTGTTGTGTTCTGCACCTAAGTTGTGCAGTTTTTTAGCACTACTAGTGCTATTCAGAGTAGATTGTGGGGTTATTTAGCACCACCTGTCCAACATTCATAGCACTTGAAGTGTTTTTTTAGCACTTTTTAGTGCTTATCTATAGCACTTAAACTAGTGCTGAACTAGCACTTGCACTTGTGCTGAAATAGCACTAGCTGTGCAGTCCCTATGCGAGCACTGAAAAGGTGCTGAATATAGCCCTCCAAGTGCTAAAAATAGCACTACATTTTTTAGAGTGTAATATCAATTTTGCAGTTGTTTAGCTTGGCCTCTTACTTCTAGAGGAATCTTGGTGCTAGATCTAATTCACTTTTGTATCCATACCCTACACTCCACCCTCTAACCCTGTCGGCGGTCGCCGCCATAAACCCTATCAGTATCAGTTTAGGTCCCTGTAAAGGATGTAACCCTTTTCGTGTGGAATGGTCAATGGAAACTAAATTTATTTATCACCAAATTTTTTACAACCAAAGACGATTGATATCTAATTATTGTCTCTATACTTCGTACTACAGGTAAACTACACTTTATGGCTGACCGCTCAAGGAGGAATGTGCAGAGAGTGGATTACAAGCAACTCTCGGAGGGCCCATCTGTGACGTCCAAAACAACAAAATTGCAGTGCCAGTGGTCAACCAAGGAGCTTTTTCCTCTGGAAATCATAGAAACAAAAATAGAGGACGATATAACTTTTGCCCTAGTGCATTACATCGGATGGGCCAAACGATACGACGAGTGGAGGCCCCTTAGTGACATAATAAGCGTGCCAAAAGAATTTGTTCAATCAACCCCTGCGGCAACATCAGCCTTTTACCTGCAGCTCGCTGTGAATATTAAGGAAAACCTCTCAATTGCGAGAAAAACAGACAGCTTGATCGAGCTTCGTTTGCCAATCGTGCGTGAAGCTTTTGCTCCACTTCAGAAATGTAGTACATGTATTCCTGGTAAAGGAGGTAATTATTCTGTGAAGTCTCTTCACGACCTGGATGTATTGCTGGGGGAACGGTGGTTTTATAGAGTTATCAACAAAAACCGAGACTTCGCTTTTGTTGTAGATGGCAGCATAAATTTTCGGGTGATTGAACGAAGACCACTTATTGAATACACCTCTGATCAGGCTTGTGTACCCACATATGTCCATCGTGGTTTTCATTTGGTTTTTAGGTTTGTTCGGGATCGTGGCAATGCAGCAGACCTAAACCGTTATTTGCAGATGTAAATACACAGTATAATGTATAAATATGCTCTAACAGTAGGGAATGTACACATGTATTTAATAGAATGTTGACTTTTCCTTGCCTCTGATGCCTACATGTAGTTGAATACTTTTTTTGGTGCCATTTACACTTTAATCTCTTGCCACAGTGTACATCCCAGTTGATATATGTTTTAAATTTTAATGCACTGTACATGTAGTACTTTATAAACATAGTTCATAACTACTAGGCATGTTTATGACAATCTTAGCAACATGGCTCATCTATTGAATGCATGTGTTGTCTTTTTTATATTACTTGGATATTTTCAGACTTGTCAGTCTTTGCCAGATGGGCCTCAGTTTGACGAATACCCTCATGTTGTTAAGTTGGAAATTAACAACCTCTTCCTTTACAAATTAACTACACCTGACTCTAACTCACTGACCCCTGAAAATATTGACACTGTGTTGCAAGCAATCCTGTCCAAATTCCACTTAAACAGGGACCAGATAAACATAGCATGTGTCCGTAAAACACTTGTTGAGAAGCTCAGGCACCTTCTTCGAAAGTTGAAGCTCATTAGTAGATCTGGTTTTAAGAAAAAAGAATTGCTGGAAAAATGGGCAAATTCAGATTATGTACTGAATGTTCCACATCGAACTGGTTCCCCAACTAAAAGAAAATTAGAAGAAGTCCAAGAAGAACTAAACAGATCTCATGACGAACTCAATGTGTCCAGACAAGTTTTAGCTGACACAACTAATCAGAATCAGGAACTCAAACGAAAAACTGAACGACTATCCAATCCTAAAAAACGTAAACATGGAGAAAGGGGAAAGAGCAAACAAAAGAATTCATATAGTGATGTACAAAAGAGGAGACACAAGAAACATAAGGTTGAAACAGTCAAGTCAATGTT